CACACACACATACACACACACGCACACACACACACACACACACAGACAACGAGATGGCATCCTGATCCCATAGACCAATCTTTTTTTTTTTTTGAATCTCCTCTTTATTTTCAAATCTTTTTAATGCGCAGAGGCCATGGAAACAAAGCATCAGAGTGAGAGAGATGTAGGTCACGACGACAAGTCCTGACTTGCCCGCATTCTTTATTGCGGTCCTCGATCTTACTAATCTACGGTCAGAAATGGAGAATCCGGCTAATTGGGCCTCTGCCCCCCGAAAGCGGTCATCACTGGCCAGTGCGCGATAATCTACTACTACTATCATAATGAGGGTAAGAGTGCTCCATAGAAGGTCTTAAAAAGAACAAGTGCTGGATTTGTGAAAGTTAGTTTTAACTGATTGATTGATTGATTGTTCGATCGACTGAGCGAAAATAAGGGAGCGAGTGCAAGAGTCGGGGATTGGTTAATGGTGGTCGATCGCAGACCCGCTGCATCAGCTGACTGAATCGCCGCACGCCATGATGGAATGATGGGTTCATCTTTTTAAGAATTCGTTGATTGGTGTCAAGGTGTGGGTCTTCTCGACAACCTGAACGGGAAGTTGAGTAAATTGGGTGGGAAGCGGGTTATCTCTTCCTACTCATTTGATGTCAAAGAAATGTTCATCAAGTTATCGCATGACACGCTATTACAGGCTATCGATTGGATCGCGAAGCACTTTATGGCCAAGGGCCTTGATCGAGTTAGGGTCAACACACGGGGGAAGGGAGCTTCCTTCCCCGTCACTGCTGATGCAGATCATTGGAAAACTTTCAATCTTGTGGATGTTGTGAAGTTTGTGCATATCGAAGTTGAACATACCTTCTGCTACGCTACTGGGCTACTGCTTAAACACGAGCAAGGAGTTCCGATGGGGAAAAGTATGAGTCCCCCCATCGCTCGTATTATATGTACTTTTTCTCAATACCAAATGACTCGTGCTCTGGGTCGATTATGTCTGTGTTTTGGTGCTTTGAGACTCATTGATGATATTATGCTGGTAATTTCCAGTAAGAATGATGACGTGAGATGGTTGATCCTTGAAGCTCTTTTGAAATGTTATCCCAATAATTTGACGCTTGAGCGGACTGATGATGGAACGGGTACACTGGACTTCTTGGGTTGCCAAATTCGAACTGAGCAGAATTTTCCGTATCTAGGTTATGTGCAGTTGTCCAGAAACATCTGGTCTAAGGAACCATTGAACATTCAGAATGAACAATCCTTCCATTCGTAGGGAAGTCGTAAGCAAAAGAGGGTTGTGATAGGCAGTCACCTTCATCGCATCGATCAGGCGCAACGAAACAGACGTTTTGCAAGAGGCACCTTTGACGATTTTCTGTGTTCAGAGGAACCCGCCGAAAAATCTTAAATTTTGAGAATCCATATATGAGGTCGTGTTCTTTCTAGGAAAAATATTAGAACATTTAAAAAAAATCATTTAGCTCGAGAAATAATCGTCGCGCCGATTGGGCACATTTTCCAATTTTGCCACTCAGCCATGTGTAGGCGAGTACTCCAAATTCGGTGAGTTTTCACTCTCAGAAGAATGCGTAAAAAAACCTGCAAATTGGAGTACTCGTAGATTTTGTTGTAATCTTTCCAGAAAAAAACGCTAAATAAATTTTCAAAAATCATTCAAACTGCGAAATAGATCGTGGTCACAATTTGACCCATATTTCAATTATGCCATTAAGCCTCTCTCTCTCTCTCTCTCTCTCTCTCTAGTAGGCCCCCCGCCTCCCTCTCTCTTTATCTCTCTTTCTTTCTCTCTCTCTCTCTCTCTCACTCGTATCAAGCCCTAAGGTTGCGGTATAGTGGGCTTCGGCGTCTGCGTCAAGGTGTCGCATTTTCGGCGGCGGGCGACCAGGACGCAAAGTGGGTTTTTAGGGGGCAAAAGTTTGGGGGGGAACGGTCCTTTGCATAAATTGGGGACTACCTACAGACAGGTCTGGAATGACCGGGCCCTTTGGAAAAAGCAAGGACCGGTCCTCGGGTTGAAGTCGACCCCTAAAAGGAAGGTCCTTGCCATAATTGGGTACTACCTACAGGCAGCTCTAGAATGTTCGGGCCTTTTGGAAAAAGCAAGGACAGGAAAGGTAGCCGCGCTCTCGTTTGAGCCGTCTGAACACCTGCTCTTAGTGAAAAGCGCCGAACGTCAGTGCGAAGACATTGGGGGCCGTGAAGGTTTTTGGAATTCGTAATTCGTAACACATGGTGAACGTGCGAGATCTTGACACAGCAAGAGAGAGAGAGAGCACAAACTTGAAACGAAGACATAGACGTGCGCGGTAACACACCGTGAACGTGCTAGATCGAACATAGCAAGAGAGAGGGAGTACGAATGTGAACCAAAGACATAGACGTGTGTGGTGAGACACAAAGTGGGCTGACTTTGACTTCTGATAACACGGGAACCCTCTCTCTCTCTCTCAAACTACCCACTCCCCCGTCTCTTTCTCTCTCTCTCTCTTTCTCTCTCTCACTCTCTCTCTCTCTCACCAAAGACATATGATGACACATCCAAGGCACATAACAAAAGATTTTAGATGAATTATTGCCATCGCTTGCAAATATATGATGTTTTTTTTATCTTTTTTCTTTTCTTTTTTGATGGTCCGATGGATCACAGATCAGATATTAAACTAGCCAGAACAGATACACTGGACTCAAAAGGCCGAGAAAGGTATACTGTATGATGGTATATTGCAGAAATTGCGCGTTGGAGATGTCACTCGGGCAATGAAGGAGAAGATGCGCGGGAACAAAAGGGAGAAAACACACGAAAGAACGGGAATTACGAGGAGACACGTGGAGGACATGAGACCAAGAAGATCTTTTGTGAAGAATGACGTGATGAGGAGGAGCAACGAGCGAGGAGCAAGGGGACAGAGCTTGGGAAAAAGGAAGCGCACAAGAATAGCAAACCCAATGCGTAAGTAGGTGATGAGCGCATTCACGTGCGGTGAACGGGCGACGCGCAATGAAAAGAGGAAGGGTGCGCCCCTTAAGAAGAGGAAGAAGAGCAGGAGTGAGTGAGTGCGTGAGTGAGTGAGTGAGTGAGAGTGTGTGTGTGTGTGTATGTCTGACATCCACTCTCTCTCTCTCTCTCTCTCTCTCTCTCTCTCTCTCTCTCTCTCTCTCTCTCTCTCTCTCTCTCTCTCTCTCTCTC